CAACGGCGACTACAAAGGCCCTGAGAGAAAGGGCTGTTTGATCAAGGACCAAAAGAAAGGTAGGTGAGCCCTAGCTGGTTTGGCTCAGTGGATACAGCGTCGGCCTGCGGACTGAAGGGGACCGGGGTCGATTCCCGTCAAGGGCACATGCCTGGGTTGCGGGCTCGACCCCCAGTAGGGGGCTGCAAGAGGCAGCCAATCAATGATTCTCTCTCATCATTGATGCTTCTATTTCTCTCTCCCTCTCCCTTCCTCTCTGAATTCAATGAAAATATAGTTTAAAAAAAAAAGAAAGGTAGGTGAGTGCAGGGTAGAGGGAGTGAGGATGATGTCTGGGGTGAGTTTGGGGGTAGCAGGGCCCAGATCAGGGAGCAGATCATGGTAGGAGGTTTGTACCCACGCCCCGCCCAAGGGCAATGGGAAGCCACTGAAGGGGTTTTAAGGAAGAGAATGGCGTGGTCTGAATTGTGTTTGGGAAGTGGCTCTGCCTGGTGCATGGTGAAGGGCAAAAGTGGAAGCAGGGATGCCAGTTCCAAGGCAAGAGCTAATGCGGACTTCACTAAAATGGGTCGGGGACAGAGGTTATCGAACAAGTTTGGGATGTGGGTGAGAGGACTCCAGATGACTCCCAGGTTTTGGCTCGAGCGACTAGGTGAGAGGTGATGGCATTCTCTGCGATTTTAAGGCTGGGGGAAGAACAGGTTTCAGAACAGGAAATGACCAAGTGCCAAACTGGATGTACTTCGATGCTCAAGAGCCCTCCAAGCAGAGGTGTGGAATAAACAGCTGGATACACAAATCTGTGGCTCCGGGGAGGAGTACAGGCTGGAGATATAAATTTGGGAGTCACCAGCATATAAATTGTATTTAAAGCAATTGAAATAGATTAAATCAACTAAATGTGTATCTAAAGAAGACAGAAGAAGAGGTCCAGGAAGGAACCAAAAGGAATCAGGTTTCTCAGCCTCAGGACCACTGACATTTTGGACCAGATATTGTTTGTTGAGGATGACTAGCAGCCTCTCTGGCCTCCACCCACTGGATGCCAGCAGCACCCCCACAGCCCCCATTATGACAACCTCAAATGTATCTCTACTCATTGTATCTCTACTCATTGCTAAACGTCCCCAAGTGCCCTCTGATTTGGAGGCAGGATGGGGAACAGAAGCAGCAAAGGAGAGTCATCAGGAGTGGCCAGTGAGGGAGGAGGAACACGAAAAACACGTCACAGTGTGAAGAGCCAGGGCTGCATGCAGAGAGGAGTCAATTGGATCAGGACTTCTAGAAGGAGCAAGAGGAAGACAGAGGAACGCCCACCCTGAGAAGCACTGGCATCTGTATGAGAGCAATGGTGGAGTTTGGAAGCCGCAGGGCAGAGGGCAGAAGCATGAAAGAGAGAAGAGGTAGAAGAGCTGTGGCAGTTTTACTACAGAGGGAGGGGGGATAAAGAGAAGAGGATGGTCTTATTCAAAGCACATGTTTGTGTGCCAGTAGGAATGATCCTCAGAGCGGGAAACACTGATGATGCGAGAGAGGGGGAAAGACTGAAGCGAGGGAAGTTGTGAGGAGTGAGGGACCAACCACGCCTGAGCTGGACGTTCAAGGACTAGTGGTGGGAAGATGAGGAAATTCCCTTTAGGTGGCTTCTATTTCATCATAACTCATGTAACAAGGTCATCAGCTAAGTCAGGGGTTGGGGTGTTGAGGCAATACCTGTCTCAGAGATTGGGAAGGAAGAGTTACTAAAGGAATAGAGTAGGCCAGCTGGTCTGTGCTGAGTGCACAGCTGAGATCTGTGGTCGTGCGCTCAACCACACAGCCGTGCTTAAGTGCAGACGGGTAGTGGGTCAATGGGGTTTGGGGCTCTCCAGCCAGGCATGATGGAGAGAGATGCAAGGGAGTTGTGGCAAGTGTGTGTGGGAAGGTGATGAGGATGATGGCCACGGGACCTCCGCTGCTGGGTAAGTCGGGGAGTGCACGCAGGAGCGCGTCAGAAAGTGAAAACGTAACACCAATGGTCCCAATGAGACAGGAATTACTGAAGCAGGGGCGCTAGGGAGGAGGTGGGGGGCAGAGAGCGGGGCGTCAAGAACTCTGGTTACAGAAACTCCTATTGAGAAACCCATGCCTCCCAGTGTGGGTGTCAGTGAGGAGGGGCGCCCACCTGTGTGGAAAGGCAGGAAGCTCGTTCCTTCAGGGCTTGTTCAGATGAGGGAGGAGGAAGGAAGGGGAGATGAGGAAGGAGAGCCAGAGCTATGGCAGGTTTAATACAGAGAGAGGGGAATGAAAGTTCTATTTAAAGAGTGTGTGTTTGTGCACCAATAGGAATGATCCTCTGAGTGGGAAAAACTGTAGTGCAGGAGCCGTGAGAAGTCAGGGACCAACCACACCTGAGCTGGAGGTTCAAGGTCTCCTGGAGGGCAGTGAGAGTCTACGCTGGGCCAGACCTGCACAGGCACTGAGGCTTCGATGGGGCAAGGCGAACAGGCTCCTGACCCCAACCCGCTAGCATCAGTGCTCAGGGTACTTTTGTCCTGAGAGCAAGTTTTGGCCAAAAGCACACACAAAATAAATGTAACAGCCCTTTAGTCACACTAATAAACAAACCACATTCCTCGGAGTTGGTACCCACATTATTAAATCCCGTATTTGGATGGGCACGATGTGTAGAATTCCCTAAAATCAAGTCTGTCCTCATACAACAATGATTTGCCACCATCAAAGCTACTCAAAAACATATCCTTTGAGGTAAAAAGCAATTCCAAAAAATAAATTTTAAAATGTTTCAAGTGACTCCAATAATACGAAACAAGCTGGCGGTAACCTCTTTGGAGGGGACAAATTCACTGCTATGTCCTCTTCTCTACTTAATCCTTTCGTGGTGATTTCTTCACATCCGAATGCTTTCAATACCATCCCAAATACACATTCCCCAAACCAAGACCTCCAAATGCTGGACTCGGACATCCAACCAACTGCCTGCATGACGTCTCCCTGTGGACATCTAATCGGCCTCGACATGTCCGCCTCACGCACACACAGTCTGCTCCTTCCCATCTTCTCTGTATCAGGTAATGACAACCCTATTTGTCCTGTTACCCAGGCCAAGAACCTGGTAGTCACCCTCTTTCCCTTGTACCCCACATCCAATCTATTGGCTCTACCTTTAAAATAGGACTGAATCCAATAGTTCTCATTGCATCCTCTGCTAACACCTGGTCAAGCTGTGACCATCTCTCAGCTGCCAGGCCTAGCCCGGCCACCTCAGGTCCCTCTCTGACTCTGTGTGCTACCTCTCCTCCTCACCCTGCCTCTGGGCTCACGGGCTCCTTCCTGCTCCCCAGACAACCAAGCAGGTTTATCTTGGGTCCTCTGCTGGTACCCACCTCTCCTACTGGGACATCTTTTCCCCAAATATCCACACAGCTCACTCTCGGATGGTTCCGGCCACCTAGAGGAAGAAGCCTGTCACCCGCCCTGCTTTGTCTTCACAGCGCATCATGGACATGTTTCAATACACACTGTTCCTTATTTTCCTGACTGTCTGACTCCCCAACTAGAAAGCAAGCTTCAAGGGTCTTTGTTTCTTTCACTGTCTCACCCCTAACAGCCACAACAATGAATGAATGAATCTTTAAAAGAACCAGTTACCTTGTTTTATGGTTCTACTTTATATAAATGCCTGTCCCTTCTCCCTGTCTAACTGACTTCTTCCTTTAAGATGTCTCCTTTCTACATTCATGAGAGCAGCAGCCGGGGTCCCCATCTCCCAAAATAAAGACCAGCACTTTATCAAGCTGCAGCCCCTCATGCATTTTCTGCTCCCTCCTTCCCTTTCACTAGTCATTCAGGGCATCCTCACAAAGGAACTGTCTTTGTTCAACAGTCCTGAACTGGCTTCCAGAGTCATTCTTTGTTTTATCAGTAAGCCTCGGTTACCATGGAAATGATGGCCACCAAAATGCAGCACACACTCCTTGCTGATAAGACAAGGGCTCTTGAAGCCTCTGAGAACTGAATTCACCCCTTTGACTTCTCTCATTAAAATTAAAAACTTAAAAAAATCAATATACCATCATAGAGTATGAATAGTAAGAATGAAAAATATTGCCCACAATCCTTCACTGTAGCACAATTTCTATCATTTTTATATATTTTTTAAAAAAATATATTTTATTGATTTTTTACAGAGAGGAAGGGAGAGGATAGAGAGTTAGAAACATCAATGAGAGAGAAAAATCGATCAGCTGCCTCCCACACACCCCCCACTGGGGATGTGTCCGCAATCAAGGTACATGCCCCCGACCGGAATCGAAACTGGGACACTTAAGTCCGCAGGCCAAAGCTCTATCCACTGAGCCAAACTGGTTAGGGCCAGTTTTATATTTTTTTTACATAAATACATGATTTTGCAGTTGAATACAGTATATTCAACAATTTTGTATTTTGCTTTTTTTTTTTTTTTACTTCTCATCCTAACTTTTTTTCATGTTGCTGCCCAGGTTCCTAACTACACTTAATGGTTACAGAATATTCTATCAAGTGGTTGGACCATAACTTAACTAACCATACTGCTGCAGTTACTATTTCTAGTTTTCTATTACTATCAAAAACAAAGCAGCCCGGCCGGGCGTGGCTCAGTGGTTGAGCATCGACCTATGAACCAGGAAGTCACGGTTTGACTCCTGGTCAGGGCACATGCCCAGATTGCAGGCTTCATCCCCAGTGGGGACTGTGCAGGAGGCAGCCGATCGATGATTCTCTCTCATCACTGATGTTTCCATCTCTTTCCCTCTCCCTTCTTCTCTGAAATCAATAAAAATATATTATAAACAACCACAAAAACAAAGCAAAGCACTTCTTTAAGCATTTAGCCTTTTTCCTTCCACCAGATTGTTTTATTAGATGTGCAGTTACTGGGCTCACGATGCCAAGTTGCTTTACCAAAGGGCCACCCATCAACACCGCGATGGTAACACAGAGGTTAATCAGGAACTCACTCTCTTCACGGCTCCTTCCCCAACACGCTTCAGCTGCCTCACTTCTGTCCTCAGCTCCTCACAGGACAGCCATGCTGAGCAGTTGTTCATCTGTCCCATTCTGAAGTGACCATAGGGACAGTGCCGGGGGTCCAGGGCGGAACGCCGGGGGGCGATGAAGAAGCGATCGAGGCAGAGGTAGAGGAGCGCGTTCATGACAGCCATGGCCAGCAGCAGCCCCACGACTGGGGGCACCTCCCTGTGGGGGGGACTCCTTCGACCATCCTGCGGCTTCATCTCCATGTTGTTATCCTCTGTAATTTCCTGAAACATAAGATGAAACAAGTAATAACGGCTGTCTTTTATTTTCATAAGGTGTTTTGATGATGAGGGACTGACGGTGGCACACCCTCTTGGCCTCTTATACGCAAGGATCCTGCACTTTGGTGTCATCGTGAGGGTGAAAGAAGGGACTGAACGCTAGGCTCACACTGAATGCTCAGTGTCAGCTGCTCTCATAGTCAGGATTTTTTATTACAAACCATAGTCTGGGCTCCTCTATTATAGGTTCAATTAGAAGGGAGGTGTTAGTGTGCATCCGATTTTGTCTGACTCTCCCACATTTTATGGGAGAGTCAGACAATTGAATGCCACCGAGTTGATATTCAATGATGAGTTAGTCAAATGAAAGCAGCAAACTGGGGGTGTTCGCCCAGTGGGGCTGAGACAGAAGCTGGACAAGGGAGAGCAGTAGGGGACTCGCTGGGGTGATCGGAGGAGCTGCAATGCCCTTGAACCCAGCAAAGGAGCTGACATGTTCCTTGGAAGGTACTCAGAAGCTCCTTAATGCTTTTAAGCAGCAAAGGCTACTCTTCAGCAGGTGTGAAAGGTGCATCTGGGGTGGAAGGGACTGAGGCCGAGGGACGGGCAATGAGCCGGGATTAGAGCCAACGAGTATGTGAGCTAGAATGGTGGTGGTGAGAATGGAGAGGGTGACGCAGAGATGGACCTCACACTATGGAACCACCGAGGGCGTAGCCACTCACCAAAGGAATGCCCTGGCGCCGGTGTGCGGACTGTGGTGAGGGCAGGCATCACAGCTTTAGTTGTTGGATGGTGGAGGGTTGGGAGGGGAGAAGGCTGGGGAAGGGCCCTGGACATCAGGTGCTGGACCCTCGGGGCGCTGGAGGCAGACCCTACTCTGAATGAGAATGAACTGGGTCAATACCTCGACAAGGGATGTGGTGCGTCAGTATCAGCACTGGGACGCATGGGGGACATCGGTGACAGGACTGACCCTGCACTTCTGGGGTCTGAGACACTTGTGAACGGAGCATTACCTTCTAGGTACGTCTTCCTTCTGCCGGTTCAGGTCTCCATCCGGACACCAGGGCAGTCAGTGTTCTGGTGCGCCCGGGGCCCTGGTTTCAAAGCACCCTGCCACCAAGTGCCAAAAGGCCTGTTACCAGAAAATTACCACTCTGCACACACACCAATGGCCATCGTAAAAACGGCCCATCTTCCCAGGGGCCCTCGTTGTGCCCGGGTGTCCCTCGGGCTCCTGATTCCCAGGCTGGTCAGAGGCCCTGTCCGCTTGTATGGAGGCGATGCTGAGCATCGGTGTGAACCTGGCCGTCTCCCAGAAACCAGACCCTGGGCTCCACTCTGCAATCCAGATCAGAACCTGACCTCTTTACAGACAGCCCTGCCTGCCTTTGAGCCCATCAAAAGAAAGCTTCACTTCAATTTTGCCTAAACGCCACCTGTAATAATACTGTGCTCCAAATCCTGTAATAACACTCTCTCTTCCTCCGATAGAGACACCAGGTCCCAACGCTGTGCAGGCTCACTCAGTCAATGGGTCAATAAACCTGACTAGTTCATTCCCATGGCCTACGCCCCCCTCTCTTCAAACTATCACCTCGACCCCCACTGATGATCCTGTTACCTATATTCCTGGGAAAACAGAAGCCACCAGAGAGCACTGCCACAAGCTGCCAACATCACCTCGCAGGCTCCTGCTCCCTGTACCTCCTCTCCTGTGACTATGAACAAAGTGGGGTTCCCAGCTCTGCACCTGTGCACAGATCCCTCTCTCCCGCCTGCTCATGGGCACTGCCCCAGCAGGTCTCTCCTCTTCTCCTGCTTCATGGCCAGGATGCCCTAACTTCCCCCATCAGTTCAAACATTCTTCCTTCACCCTACTTCCCCTTCCGTTATTGCCTTATTTTCCCCTTCACTTTTTGCAAATTCCTTAAAAAACTATCTCTACTTGCCTGTCCCGTGTGACTCAGTGGTTGAGCATCGACCTGTGAATCAGGAGGTCACGGTTCAATTCCTGCTTGGGGCACATGCCCCGGTTGTGGGCTCAATCCCCAGTGGGGGGCAGGGAAGAGGCAGCTGATCAATGATTCTCTATCATTATTGATGTTTCTATCTCTCCCTCCTCTTCCTTCCTCTCTGAAATCAATGAAAATATTTTTTAAAAAACTATCTATACTCACTATCTCCATCTCTCTCCTCCATTTCTCTTGAACTCAATGCTACTCCACCCACACTGGCCCTATCAAAGTGACCTCCACATTGGTAAACACAACTGTCAATTCACAGTCCTGGTATTGACCTCTCAGCATAGCTGGTCACTCCTTCCTTCTTCAAACGCTTTTACTTGGTTCCCAGGAAACCTCACTCTGGTGGCTCCCCAGTCTCTGTCTGTAAATGCCGGGTGCCCCAGGGCTCAGATCTGACCTCTTCACTCTCTCCCTCAAGGGGGTTATCTATCCAGAGCCATGACTCTCCATCTCCTGCTGACCGCTCCCAAGTGTCCAATAAAAAATAAATAACTCAATTTTTAAATGGGCAAAGAACTTGAACAGACATTTCTCCAAAGATATATAGATGGCCAATAGGCACATGAAAAGATGCTCAACTTGATTAGCCATTGGGGTAATGTAAATCCCTCCACACATCCACTAGGATGCTGTAATAAAAAAGTCAGGCGATAACAAGTATAGACAAGGATGTGGAGAAATAGGAACCCTCATGCATTGCTGGTGGGAATGTAAAATGGTGCAGCCACTGTGGAAAACAGGCAGGTCCTTAAAGCTAAACAAAATGTTGCCATATCACCCAGTAAATCCACTGCTCGGTATATACCCAAGAAAATATACATTCATATAAACACCTGAAGATGAATGCTTACAGCCATGTTATTCATAATCACCTACTTCCCAAACTCGACACCTGTTTCCTCCCTTGCCCCCCAAATAGCTGTTTTCAGTGTTCACAATCTCAGTAAATGACAATTGTATTCTTTCAGTCACCCAGGCCAGGGAAGCTGCAGGTCAAGGGTCAGCACAGTGACATTGCTCCTCCAAGAAGGAAGTTTTAGAAATAATGGGCTCTTCTACAATTCTGTGTGCTTTTTCTAATTATATGAAGAAAAGGCTGCTTTGCTTATCCCTGCTGTAAGAGGTGCCCAGTAAACCCTGGCTCTACTGAACTGCTCCAGCATTACTCAACAACCTCCTTTTCTTTTCTTTTTTAACCCTCACTCAAGGACATAATTTTTAATTGATTTTTGAGAGAGGAAGGTGGGTAAGAAGGGAAGGAGAGAGAGTGAGAGAGAGAGAGAGAGAGAGAGAGATCAGTTGCCTCCCATATGTGCCCCTACTGGGGATCAAACCCGAAACCTAGGTATGCGCCCTGACGGGAAATCGAACACACAACCATTTGGTATACGGGACGACGCTCCAACCAACCGAGCCACCCAGCTAGGGCAACAACCTCCTTTTCTTGAATGGATGCCATCTGCTCACACCACCGCCTGTCTTCCAGCTATGCCCAGCAACGTTCTGACGGTTGCTTGCTCCCCTTTCTCATCAAGATTCCAGGCCCAGATCTTTCTCTCCGGCCCATTCTGCCATCCTCAGGGGCTTCAGATGAAACTCTGATGACTTTTACCACTCAGGCCGCCCAGGCTCTGGAGCTGCTCCCACCAGTCCTGATCCTCGGAAGATGCTCGGAAAGAAACGAGTCAAACAGCTGCCACCTCTCCTCGGCAACACTGAAAGCTGACTGTGTGTCTCATTTAGACCTCAGATCAGGGACCAGCAAACCTTTTTCTGTAAACGTCCCGATAATAAATATTTAGCTACGGGGCGGAAGCGGACACTGAGGTAACCACATCACTGTGACTCCTGGTGCCCCGAGCAGCAGTGCCCGGATGAGAGGCCACAGCTGCTCAACCCCATCACCAGAGCAGCCCCAAATACGACATATACAAATGTGCATGGCTTTACTGTAACAAAACTTTATTTATGGACAATGACATTTGCATTTCACATAGTTTTCATTGTCACAAAAGATTATTCTTTTGACTTTTCTTTTTTAAAAAAAAAATATATTTTATTGATTTTTTTTACAGAGAAGAAGGGAGAGGGATAGAGAGTTAGAAACATCAATGAGAGAGAAACATTGATCAGCTGCCTCCTGCACACCCCCTACTGGGGATGTGCCCGCAACCAAGGTACATGCCCTTGACTTGAATCGAACCTGGGACCTTTCAGTCTGCAGGCCGACGCTCTATCCACTGAGCCAAACCAGTTAGGGGTCTTTTGACTTTTCTTAGCTCGCGGGTCGTACAGAAACAGGTGGTGGGCAGCAGTTGGCCAAGCCCAGCCGTAGGTGTGGATACTCCTGTGGGTCTGCTGCAGGCCATCTTCCCATTCTATGCGTTCCCTCTCTGTAATCTCACCCATGAACGTGGCTTTCATGCCACATAAACACCGATTTCCAAGTCTCTACCGTGGGCCAGATCTTCCTCCTAGGCATCACTCAGCTGGCTCTCCAAGGTCTGGGATGGGTCTCTCTATCCCCAGCATGTCCCCTCTCCAGGGTTCCCTCTCTGTGACGGGCACACAACACACCCGTTCCCTTAAGTCACAAAACAAGGGATTCTAAACCAGGGGTGGGGAAGGTATGGCCCACCAAGGCAACTGCATTTATTATTTACTAGTGGCCCAGTGCACAAAATTTGTGCGCGGGGGGCGGGGAGGGGGGGTGGCCCTCAGCCCAGCCTGCACCCTCTCCAATCTGGGACCCCTTCGGGGATGTCTGACTGATGGTTTAGGCCTAATCCCACAAGGATCGCCATCCGGGATTTCTGGCTCCTAACCGCTCACATGCCTGCCTGCCTGATCACCCCTAACCACTCTGCATGCCGGCCTGATCCCCCCTTCTGGCCTGATCACCCCCAACTGCCCTCCCCTGCTGGCTTGATCACCCCTAACCACCTCTGCCTTGGCCCCACCACCATGGCTTTGTCCGGAAGGACGTCCGGAAGGTCTCCTGGTCTAATTAGCATATTACCCTTTTATTGGTATAGATTATTAAATTCAATAAATCTAGGAGCTTTTTGCAGAGCAACATAAATTTATATTAAGTGAGTTATATTAAGCAAATGATGTTATAAATATCCAAATGGCCCTTGGCAGGAAAAAGGTTTCCCACCCTTGCTCTAAACCAACCAATCACCATGTACAGTCAATTCTATCACCCAAATGGCTCTCAAATCTGCTCATTTCTCCCTGTTCTTGCTCCCCAGGCTGGTCTAAACCACCAGCATCTCTTACCTGGGCTTCCGCAACAGTTTCCTACATGGTCTCCCACGTTCTCCTTTTCAATCCATTCTCCACGCAGCAAATTGGATCTATTTTTCTTTCCTGAAATGTTTCAAGCACAGAGAAAACCAAAAAATAAGATTATGGACATCTATTCAGCTTTGTCAGGTAACACTGCATCATGTTTAAAGATCTTTTTTAAAGATATAAAAATATTACATATACAGTTGAAGCCCCCGTGGACCCCTGCCCAATCCTCCACTGCTCCCTCCCAGGAAGAAATCACCTTCCACAAGTAGGTGTAGGTCAGTAGTTCTCAAACTGTGGTCCCTGGGCCTGCAGCATCCCCTCGGAACTTGTGAGAAATTCGAGTTCTTGAGTCCTCACTCCAGACCTACTGAATCAGAAACTCTGAGGTGGGGCCCAGAAATCTGTTGACAAGTCCTCCGGGTGACTCAGACGCACACTAAAGTCTGAGAATCCCTGGTGCATTTAATTCCCATACATGAGTTTTATTTTCACCGCATGAGCCCACTTCTTAAAAAAGGCTTTAGCCCACCTCAATACCTGATGGGCTTTTTTCTTTTAAAGTCATATTTCTGGAGTAGGATGCCCTGAGCCTGGGATAAGACCATGTCGCCGAGGAACTTCCCTGTCCAGAAATAAGCAAAAAAACACTGAATGTTACGGGTTGTGAAAAATACCCAGCAAGTTAAGGAATAACGGTTGGGGCCCGTTGGGTAGGAGAATGCAGGCACTGTTCAGACACAAAGGATTCCTGACACTGATAGGAAAAAGCTGGCAGACCAGGAAAAGACTGGGAATCACTGCTCTACACTCAGCTTAACTGAAAAAAGAAAAGAAGGAAAGAAGGGAGGGAGGGAGGGAGGGAGGGAAGGAGGGAGGGCAATGGAACAAAATCAGTTTTTACCAATTTACAAAATAAATATCTTATACAACCAGAGGAGACAGGGATTAATGTCACTCAATACAATTTAGAATGAAACCCTTAATTAAAACAATCGTGTTATACATTCCGGATGCTGACTTAGCTTTAAGGCTCTATAGTAAAGGTAAGAGGTGGAGAAGACAGGACCACTAATGAGACAGCGAACCCCGGCCGGTGGCCAGTTGGTTGGAGCGTGGTCCCCTGCACCAAAGGGATGCGGGTTCTGGTCCGGGTTTCTTTCTTTTCCCTTTCCCTTTCCCTTTCCTTTCCTTTCCTTTCCTTCT